AATGTACAACGTTTCGACATGATTTTATATTTGTTGTACATTTGCTGTTATGTTAAACTTATATTAAAGTTTTTCTTCATTACCCATTCAAGCCGTCTCCAACTAAACATGATTTTAGGTTTTATCTACATAAATACTGAATACAAGTCTAAAAAAAGTTATAATTTAATTGTATATGTCACTGGTTAGGCCACATTTAGTCTTGGGTTCTTTACCTTAAGAAGGACATTAAATTGTTGGAAAGGATTCAGAGGAGGGTTACTAGAATGGATGGATAGAGGGTTTGTCATGTGAGAAGAGATTATGATCTCCGAAATTGTTTAAGATTTTTTTTTTAATTTATTTATTTGATAGTTTTAGTTCAGTTTAGTGCATGAGACAGCCAAGATGGACCAAGAGGTCCCTTGTTGTCCCTAAATATTATATTATGTTAATTATATAAATGGACATTAACATGTATTATGCTCCTCTTCCTTCCAATTTAACAGATAATCATTTAAAATTGAAAGTCTAATTTGTTTTAAATTTTCAACCATTGAAGAATTCTAATACTCTTACTTTCCAATCAAACAACAGGACATTTGGGTGAATGTATTAAAATGAAATTGTTTATCGATTGATTTGAATTATAATTATCTTAATTAGCACAAGTTTTATTTATTGATAAAAGGTAAATATTTCTAATCCAATGGTAAAGACTAAAATTTTAAATAGTCATACAATACTCAGCATCTTAACACTCACTACACACAATATTGTTAACACACACAAACAACTAAGTATAATATCTTCATAAATTAATTTCACTCACTTATCATTAATTCCCCTCAAAGTTGTTACAATGAATATTGAATCAAACTTTCCATTATTACAGACTAAATGAAGACATCAAAAAAACTTTTGAAATAAGATGCACATTCTGAAGTCACAGTAATTACTAATTTACAATACTGGCAACAAAGTGTGCTTGGAAATTAATCTACACTCTATTTACTGTTACAATTTGCCTAAATGTAAGCTATAATCTTATTATAAAACTGAACAAACTCTGCTCAGAAAACTAATATGACTGGAAAATTGGTGCCTAAACCAAGATATTTCTTTAAAAAACAAGGTCAAGTTATTTCTTTTTAAACTTGAAAATCCAGCTGTAAAAATTCTTTAACTTCAACTCTTCTATCAGTTTTTCACACCCTCTTAAATATTAATTTTGTTTTACTAAATGTACAATAGATTAAACAAAGTACTACATCAAACTACATTTAAGGCTTTAAAAACTTACCCTGGTTTAAAAAATACTGCCTGTAGTAAAGAGCTCCAGTGTCAGTTTTTTCAATAGGGAAGGAAAAACGTTGATATGGGCAACAATGCTTCTTCCACCTAATGTTATCAGTTTTTTCAAGAACTGATAAACCATATGCTGATAAAGGCCTATAAAAGGTAGTTGACCCAGGAACAGTTGTCGCTGAATTCTTCTGACTCAGTCTGCGAGTTAACCTGTTTAAACTAACCATTTTCTCCTTTTCACCACAGAGCTCATTCCGAAAAAAGGAACAACTAAGAACGAGATCATTGCAGCGCCCATCTCCTGGATCCTGATATTTCATTAAAGCATTCCCGTCCCCGCTATGACTATACTGTAGTTTGCTTATTACAGATGCTGCAGAAGCACCAGTAGAAGTATTGCACCTACGAGTTACCAACTTACACACTACTGAAGCAGTTGTGCTCAAATCAACACTGATGCTCTGACAATCATAGTGAGCAAATGTTTTTTTTCTCATTTTCTCTTCAAGTCTGCAGTCAGAATCTATTGACATGTGAGAACCATGCGTACTCAAGTTTGTACTTGTATCCACTTTATTTCTGACTTTCTTAAAAAATATTGTCTCTGCATTGAGCATTTTGACTTTCTCTCTCATGTCCCACAATTTATACAGTTTTGATTTTAAAGTAGGGCTTTGGCAATCCTCCAAACTACCTGAATTGTGAACTAAAGTATTTGAGGCATTCTGGGAAGCTGGTGGAGAATCAACTTTACCTATCAAAACCTCCTGCAATCTAGCAGGTCCAGCACTTCTCTGGTCAGTATGACCTGGTTTAAACTCTTTTAGCATGGAGAAAAAACCTTCATTTGCACCATTTTTTATACCTAAAGATGAAGTACTTCCAAAGTTTCCATGAACGCTCACTGTTCTCTCCGAAAACCTTTCTTTTCTATGTTCTATCTCCAAGTTACTGTTACTTCGGTATAATGCAACTCTACACCCGGGTCGCTGTGTGGTAACTGATATCCTATTCATTCTTTCACTGAGAGTTCGATGTGGGCCATCATTTTGAAGATGAGGATTACATTGTATCAGACTTCTGGATGTTGTATGCATAGTACAATTCTCCAAAGATTGTTTTAACTGTGAGGTCGGTAATTTAATGGGCACTGTGTTCGTTGTATGTGAAGGTTCACTTATTTGAGTCATACTTCCACTTTTATACACATAAGCTGATTTATAAATTTCTTTGTAGTATTCTGCAGTGCGAGCACGAAGCACATCTGATGTCAGCTCATCTTTCGTAGGAAAACTACTTTCTTCTATTGTGCTGGGAACATCAGCCATGTCACTTACAGAAATAAGTTTTGGTTCTTTATTACTATTTTGTAGTGTTTGAGCAAACTAATTGCAATAACACCCAACTTTCCAGCAGTCACGAAGACATGGAGAAACTGCATGGTAAGTCTTTGACTCATGCGAACAGAACATCATTCATTTGAAGTTGACTAGCCATCTGGAATGAAGAACAAGATATGGATGGTTAATCTTCACCCTTGCAGGCAACACTGACACTTAAGAGTAAAATTGCTGAACTCAATTCCACTAGAGAATCATACCAGTCAAGTATTATATAGCACTGGAATATCTGATAAAAAAATTACCAGTACTTCGAGCAGGAAGTAAAAAAAATGTGTCTCTCTATTAACCATGCAATAGTTTTACGGTAGAAAACCTACTTCAAACAACAGGAAAGAACAGTAATCAGCTATGATCACTCTTGTAAGCCATGATTATTCAAAACACTTAGTACACATAAAACAACAAAATAACCCAAAGATTTAAGAATAAAGGTTCAAATACACCGAGTAATTTCATGACTTTGTCTAAACTGTGCATATTTTAAAACTATCTTTACACTGAAAATCTTGCTTCAAAGTATTATACCAAATGAAGTAAAGAAATATTACACTTTTACTCAGCTTAGTGATTTATTAGCAACCTGATTACAACAAAAATTCCACACTCTGGATTTGGTACATCATATCAATGATTTATGTAACTATGGAGATTAGTAATTCATCTCAATCTCACTAAAGCACAAACTTAGAAAATAGTATCCTGCACAAAATGAAAACCATCAAAAAACAAAAAGATTTCAACATTAAAAATGATAATACAAAGTAATCATTTTATTATCACATAGATATTTAGATTATTTCACTTTCTATCAGGCTTACTTCATATAAAAAAACTTTTGATGTTGTAGAAAAATAAAGTGACTTGGCAGGGGTAAAGTAATAATTAAAGTTGTGGAATCTATTTCCAAGAATTTTGACTTCCATAATAAGAAAGTTGTTATTAGTTCATATAAAACTCTTGACAGACTACATTATGAAATACTATATTAAATTTCTCTCTCACTAATATTGGGTGTTGTTTTGATTGGTGAAGGATGAATTCAAAGAGCTGTGGCCACCTTTCACCACGCTCTCTTCATTTTTATGAAGGACACATGTTTGAATGAAAAGATGTAGAGGAATGCTATTAAAATGACTTCCTTCTTCAAAGGTATGCATTTTAAACCAAGATGAAACACTGCTCTGTAAACTTGTTTTCAACCAGGTATATTATGTGAGATTACAATGATTCTCATGTTTTAATACCTTCATCTGAATGAGCTATAAATATGTAAAAATAAGTTTTATGTTCACAGTAACAAACACAAAGTAACACTCCTTCATAAAAGTTGATGCTCTCACCCAAGTGTTTTTGATCTATACAAGACATTCCTTTATAAAATTCGAGTTCTTAACCTAGTGTGTTAGAAAAATCATTCCTCAATACCCATGTTAATGTGGTCCATCATGATAGAGTTCCTGTATAGAAGTCTTGCAGGTGATGTCACAAAACTTCCTGTTTCATTCAACACTGCCATATTTGACATGAATTATCCACTTTTAAAAATCAACAACAATTCATATCAATACACTATCTTGTAAAGTTTTCATGCAGTCAATGGTGTAAACATTGCCTTTGGAAAAACATAAGGATACAATGTTCTACGTGTATTCAGTTTCTCAACATATCTTTCTTTATGCACATTGCTGAGATGACTTACAATGTCAGGTAACGTAATATCAGAGGACAAATTTGTCTTTTTACATCTATGATGAATATCAGCATTTAATGCCCAACATGACAGAGTAAAATATAGACCACATGATTTTTTGACATCAGTGCAAAACCTCTATAACTATAGTTTCTCAGCTGGATGTAATCAACATAAATACAAACACTTTTATACACAAGTTATTTGTCTTATATGGGTGTGTTGCATCAATTTCACACTTCTCTATGAATGTTAATTTGTTCAGCTGTAAATGTTTCAAGCACTTTCATAAGATAATGTACTATGAATATAACATTGTCAGCATAGTTGACTCACCAAAATTGAGAGTATTTTAAAATACACTGTATTGTACTTCAGTAGTCTTGGCATACTGATGTCATACATGTTCAGTAAACTACATATAGTATAAATTAAATACCCAATAGTACCAAAATTCTTGAAACATCAACACTTTAGCTAGATATGGCAATATTGACTGCTATACTAAAAATTGTAACACCTTGGTGACCTTACTAGGTATTTATGATAGTACTAACTTCAACACAGTATATAAACGTACTATACGTTATGGTATACCTTATGTCTGCAAAGTCTTAAATCATGTTATGTTTTCAATATTTAAAAAATGTCTCTACTCAGCTTGGCACACAGATTATTATACTATATTATGGTGCCATGTCTGCAAAGTCTGAAATCATGTTATGTTGTCAATATTTAAAAAATGTCTCTACCCAGCTTGGCACACAGATTATTATACTATATTATGGTGCCAGACTTTGCAGACACAAGGTGTACTAAAAATTACACATACATATGATGATGATATACATATAATTTAAGAACATGGGACCTTTTAGACCATCTAAACCATCCTATACATTACAATAAACTCTTGTAAACCATCCTTTATCAAGCCTTCCCTTAATTTTAAATCCTTTAACTCAAGTTGATTGCATTGATAGAAAAACATGGTTTTTCAGCCAAAGATGACTCCTAGTCCTACTCCGGCAAAATGTATGTTTGTCCACTAGTCCTATTATTAGCTTATGGTTATAATTTATTATTAACTTATTAAGTACGAAAAACAATGATGCCTAGGTTTGTCACTGGAAAATTGTTCGTTTATCCACATTCTATTAGTAATTTCTAATTTCCGCTTCATTCGACCCGAATCTAACTAAAACGTAATGGTAAAACGAATTTTCTTTATATCCTAACGATTAGGGTATAGACTAATTATCATAAATAACACAGCGGATCTTCTTCAGTATAATATTATACAGCTAGGCTTAACTATTGAAAACAGGCCTATTAAACTCAATTAAAGTATTATACTCTTCGTAAATCAGAAAGTATAATGCAAATAAGCGTTGTAAATAAGAAAACAAAAGTTAACTAAAACAGATAGCAAATATATATATAATAACCTTTAAAGTGATATCTGAAGCTGTTTTTCAAATGCTTTGTTTAAAATCTCTTGGCACCTTATTCTGTCATTCACACTCAACCATTAACATATTCCACATGCCTATTGCTGAATGAGCGTCAACAACACCCGAGCGTAACTAACCAGTTTCCGGTCACATGACCTGTGACGAAAACGATGCAATAGTGAATGAATAATATTTTTTTGCAAACAGTTTAATTGCTTATTTTAAATATATATACGCATATAAATCGAAAAAACAATATCATGTGAACAAATTAAATAATTCAGTTAAACTTCCCACGCAATAATTGGAAATTTAACAGTTTTTAATTATTTTTCTCTAATAAAAATACAAGTTTATTGTCCACAGAATTAGAATTCCAGAAGTTTTTCCTAAAACCTGATGAAGAAATAATCAGCCAGTAACATAGCTAAACAGTCACTCTGTTTTCTTATCAGAATATATAGGTTGAAACGGAATCATAAAACGAAGAACTACTATGTTTCAAACAAAAAAATACATAAAAAGTATTCAAAAACTTAAGGTTTAATAAACACCTAACCTCTTTTAAGAGTGAAAATGATTCAGAGTAGTGGGTTGGTGATGAAGTTGATGAGTTATTATGAAACTATTCAGTTATTGCGAAGCCCAATTGTTACACCACTGGTCTTTTTTTCTTTTTTACTTTTCGCTGTTTAATATATTGGTATAACCTATTTCCATCTACCACTGATGTACGTTATATATAGCACAAAAATCTGTGTGTGTGTGTGTCTGTCCGTTGTCTAACTACTCCTAGGTCGCTGGACCAATCTCAAACAAACTTTGTGGGATAATAGTTTGGAACAAGGGGCATGTCAATGAGGGGTTCACAACATCTCCCCCATTATGGCTATCTATTAATTAATCATGTGAAACACTGTGGTAGGACATTAAGAAGTGGATGTTGTAACAGAAAGCACCCCTACCCTCACGTCTTTGGCTGCTACCTCTTCCTACAAAGTCACCCTGACCATCGCATAGTGTATACCATGTTTTAAGTATATATATATAT